GCGGGGGGCTTTGTGAGGATGCTCGAAGACGAGGCTTTCTGTTTTTTCCTGGCACTGTTCCACAAGATCATGCCAAATGTGGACATGCTTTTCAGCCAGCTGCAGAAGAGGAACATCGACCCTGTCTTCATTAAAGCACTTGTCCAGAGGTTCACAGACAGCATGCTAACAATCAGGTAAATAACTATATTTACTATTGGCTGATAAAGATGTTGTTAGAAAGATGAATAGTTCACTTACAACAGTTTAAAAGCCTAAATGTGTCTGGTCATCAAAGTGAGTGATTATCATAGAGCCGTCACAATTATATTTGTTTTAGTATTTTAAAAGGAAAGAGAAGACACAATCAGACGTTGATAATAATGCAGGAAAGTACTACACAGTTTGTAATAATTATTCAGGTGTCCACCAGGTCAATTTCTAGAAGAGGCCTAGTTGTTATTGAAGATTAACTTTATTGCTAAGTGCACAGCAGAACAAAATGATGTTTACATTTTACATTTTAGTCATTTAGCAGACGCTCTTATCCATGTTGCATCCCTCTCACAAATGTAATAGAAAAAGGCTTTAAAACGTAATAACATCAGTTAATTATGTACATCACAGGTTAAAAGCAGTTACTAGACATAGTTTGTGTGTATATACACACTATCTGTCTGTCTGTCTGTCTGTCTGTCTATATATATATATAAAATTCCTGTACAAATAAGATGACAGACACACACACACAGAGCAGCTCTGGCCGCATGTTTCTTTGTATATAGTTGACCTTAGCATAAAAAATCCAGTTATATATGGTACTCTAGAAAGTCTTAATAGTGTCTTTGCTAATATTACTGTATATATGTTGTTTTGTATCAATTAATTGTTGCAGTTCTGGAGCACATTAACAATTAGTCACATTTAGTATGATCATAAAATACTGTATGCTATTCTTCCAGTCAAAGGTTTGAGTTCATCCACTTGATATCCATTTCTATATTATACATCCTTTTATACAGTGTAAGATTTCCTATAAACTTTATAATAATTTCATGTTATTGTCCACTTTCCACTCTGTTCTGACAGCATGCCTGTTGCGTTGCCTGTTTACTACCAATGGTGAAAAGTTCACTTTAAATGCAAATGAAAGGCTTGGGTTTGTGTAATATGTTTTTGTGTAAGAATGCCTCAACTTTTTAATATTGCCATTAAATAATTACTGAATGTTTCACTGAGCACTGCTTTCCTGCAGTTTGTGTTAAAATATATCGCGATGGTTACAGGAAAAAAAAAGTATGGCACAGCCCCACCGAGAATATTTTTCACCAGCCGCCACTGGTGGACAGGTGTCTTTTATACAGGTAACGAGTTCAAACAGGTGCAGTTAATACAGGTAATGAGTGGAGAACAGGAGGGGTTCTTAAAGAAAAACTAACAGGTCTGTGAGAGCCGGAATTCTTACTGGTTGGTAGGTGATCAAATACTTATGTCATGCAATAAAATGCAAATTCTGGATTTTTGTTTTAGATTCCGTCTCTCACAGTTGAAGTGTACCTATGATAAAAATTACAGACCTCTACATGCTTTGTAAGTAGGAAAACCTGCAAAATTGGCAGTGTATCAAATACTCGTTCTCCCCACTGTAGTTCTTGACTTGATTTTTCTAGTGAATAAATAGAACTCTCTCTAGAGAAACGGAGCGTTGGGCTCAACCAAAAAAAAGGAACTAAATGGAATTCAAGTAATTGAACTGATGTCTGTCAATTAGTTGTTTAATAACCTAAAAAAATAAACAAAATCTCAGTTAATCGCTCAGCTCTAGTTTAAAGTGAAATAGTACATAGTGTCCATGTAAAGATAATGAATGTGAGGTTTACAAAGTGCTGAAGTTCGCCTTTTAAACAAAGTTGACCACTGGAATTCACGTTGTTAAGCACTCTATTGAAAACCCACTGAGAAAAATGCAGACATACATTTATTTCCCACACACATCTCTGAATACAAGTAATGCCTGGGTTGACCCATAAATCAAATCAAATCCATTTTTATTTGCCACATGCGCCGAATACAAAAGGTGTAGACATTACCGTGAAATGCTTACTTACAGCCCTTAACCAACAATGCATTTATTTCTTAATAAAAAAGTAAAATAAAACAACAACAACAAAAAAGTGTTGAGAAAAAAAGAGCAGAAGTAAAATAAAATAACAGTAGGGAGGCTATATACAGGGGGTACTGGTGAAGAGTCAATGTGCGGGGGCACCGGCTAGTTGAGGTAGTTGAAGTAATATGTACATGTGGGTAGAGTTAAAGTGACTATGCATAAATAATTAACAGAGTAGCAGCAGCGTAAAAAGATGGGGTGGGGGTGCAAATAGTCTGGGTAGCCATGATTAGCTGTTCAGGAGTCTTATGGCTTGGGGGTAGAAGCTGTTGAGAAGACTTTTGGACCTAGACTTGGCGCTCCGGTACCGCTTGCCGTGCGGTAGCAGAGAGAGCAGTCTATGACTAGGGTGGCTGGAGTCTTTGACAATTTTGAGGGCCTTCCTCTGACACGCCTGGTATAGAGGTCCTGGATGGCAGGAAGCTTGGCCCCAGTGATGTACTGGGCTGTACGCACTACCCTCTGTAGTGCCTTGCGGTCGGAGGCCGAGCAGTTGCCATATCAGGCGGTGATGCAACCAGTCAGGATGCTCTCGATGGTGCTGCTGTATAACTTTTTGAGGATCTGAGGACCCATGCCAAATCTTTTCAGTCTGCTGGGGGAGAATAGGCTTTGTCGTGCCCTCTTCACGACTGTCTTGGTGTGTTTGGACCATGATAGTTTGTTGGTGATGTGGACACCAAGGAACTTGAAGCTCTCAACCTGTTCCACTACAGCCCCGTCGATGAGAATGGGGGCGTGCTCAGTCCTCTTTTTTTTCCCTGTAGTCCACAATCATCTCCTTTGTCTTGGTCACGTTGAGGGAGAGGTTGTTATCCTGGCACCACACGGCCAGGTCTCTGACCTCCTCCCTATAGGCTGTCTCATCGTTGTCGGTGATCAGGCCTACCACTGTTGAGTCGTCGGCAAACTAACCCGCAGTCCCCTGGTTATATCTGTGGAGCGGGCGGGTTTAGTGTCATGAAATATTGTATGGTTGAAGGGTAGGTCGGTGGTGGGCTGGTTTAATAAAGACAAAACAATGCACAAAAAATCTATAAATGTATAATTATTGTGCAATTTCATTAGTATCTGGCATTGGGCGTAAGCCTAAGCTTTAGGGCCTAGACTGTACGCACGCCAAATACACGGCACTTGCCAAATGCTTTCGGGAACTTGGGCAAAAAAAGTTAACTTCGATCCACAGAGGCAAAAAGGACAATATCGGAGTTTATTTAAAAAAAATAAGACCTGCGAAATGGAGTTGAAAATAAAGAGAAGGGAGGGCCAGAACAGTAGCCTAAAGTTTGGGAAAGATTTTATGTGTGATGATTGTGAGGCACTATACACATTTGACAGTCACAGCACGGCACTTCAAATATGGTACGTACTGTTCAGATAGGTTAAATGGAATAGTAACTTAAATCTGGACACTGACTGTGTCACAACCTCTCACATAGCCTAATATAAAAATATTTCCTGCATAATTAAGCAGTTCTTGCAGTAAAATGATACACCAAATGTACATTTTGACTCAGGAACAGGAGTGGAGAAATATTATTGATTTATTTCAGCATCTTGAGAGTATGAATGTGAGGTTAGGGACCATCTGTAAAGTGTTATTTTTATGAGCATCATAAAAGCTGATGGTATGTCAACCACAGAAAATATGTATCCAAAAGCCTAACTGAAATCTTATCAGAAACATGTTGGGTCGTTTTCACAGATTTTAATTCCCTTAAAACTGGTCAAACATTTGGACATTTTGCATTCTCCCCTAAACATCTTTGTTGGGCGAGAGAAGCAGAGAATATATTTTTTTTTCTTCAGATGTCAACTAGATTGAAGCTATCATTCTATCGAGTGATCAAACAGCTGACCCGCGCATCACTACTGAATACCTTTTCACACAGATGACCCACACAGACTAATCTCATCGCCTGATGAAACAGAAGCACTGTAAGAGTATATAAGGAGATGTGAACTTATTCATGAATGTTTTGGGGGAATTTGGTGGAAGTCACGTGGCTGTCCGTCAGTGTTGTGTTGGTTTGACAGGATTGACAGTTTGCTCTTCTTTGGGGTTGACAGTTAAAGCAGTGTTACTTACAGTTAGTCACAGACACAGACCAGTGTAGTGCAGGGAACAGACTATACAGATACAGACCTGCAACTGAGGTAACAGAAGAAGTTTGTGCATTTGAGCACAAGTGAGCAAAGAGTACTGAAGTTCCCCTTTTAAACAAAGTTGACCACTGGATTTCACATGTTGTGAAGCACACAATTGAAAAACCTCTGAGAAAGACCCAGACGTACATTTCCCACACACATATCTGAATACCTCTTCACACAGATGACCCACACAGACTAACCTCATCACCTGGAAAAACAGAAGCGCAATAAGGTGTGAACTTCTTTTTCATGTAATTTAAGGCCGGTGGAAGTCACTTGGCTGTCCATTAGTGTCTTGTTGGTTTGACAGTTAAACATGTGTTACTTACAGTTAGTTACAGACACAGACCAGAGTAGTGCAGGGAACAGATACAGACCTACAACTGAGGTAACAGACAAAGTTCATGTATTTGAGCATAAGTGAGCAAAGATGTCAGATGATATCTATGAAAACCCAGATGGATTTGAAGACGATGAACCTAATGCAATGAACACCATGGATATTGATGATTAATATATTGGTGATGATTATGTCAGCGTAAGAGCCGTCAAGCACAATAAGAAGGATGGAGTTGGTGCTCAACATTCAGTATCTTTTCAGTGGTGGAAGAAACCCTCTGGATTTGCTGCAGTGTGTCTGGGTCTGTTGTGTGTTCTCCTACTGGCTGGGATCATAGGCCTGTTAGTCTATCAGAGAAACCAAATGACCAGTTACAACAACCTGAGTAAAGAGAGAGACCAGCTACAGACCATCCGCAACAACCTGATTAACAAGAAAGACCAGCTACAGACCAGCCACAACAACCTGAGTAAAGAGAGAGACCAGTTACAGACCAGCCGTAACAGCCTAACTAAGGAGAGAGACCAGCTACAGACCAGCCGTAACAACCTGATTAACAAGAGAGACCAGTTACAGACCAGCCGTAACGACCTGATTAACAAGAGAGACCAGTTACAGACCAGTTGTAACAACCTAACTAAAGAGAGAGACCAGTTACAGAGTGAAACAGAAAGTCTGAAAGAGTCGTTATCGGGCAAAGGGTACTGTCCGCAATAATGGATGAAGTTTGGCTGCAGCTGTTACTACCTCTCCACTCTGAATCGAAACTGGGAGGAGAGCAGACTGGACCACTGCTTTCAATAAATAACTTCAATAAATAATTATCTTCTCTTCTGTCTCTCCCTTCCCTCTCTTCACCTCTTATCTCCTCTCCTCTCTTCTGTTCTCTCAATTCCTCTCCTCTGTTCTCCTCTAATTTCTTCCCCTCTCCTCTCCGCTCATTTCATTACCTCTCCTTTCATTTCCTTTCCCCTCCTCCTCTCCCCTCCGCCTCTGAAGCCCCAGATCCATTCTACCAGTCGGTACTGTATCAGAGCAGCTGGTGTCTCTTGGTGATCCACAGGTGGCACCAAACACACATCCTCTAGGCAACCTCTTATCACTCAGGTTCAACCCAGAGAGAGAGCTTTGGGAAATATTTGCATACTCATCTTAGACATCTCTCTCTCTCGCTCTCTCTCATGCACATGCATACACACACACACTATCTCTCTCTCTCTCACAAACACACACACACACCCCAAAGGGTTGGAAGCAAAGGGTCAGCCATGGTACAGCGCCTTTGTAAAAAGCAGAAGTGAAAGGTCTTTTTACACGCTATCTCTGCCTCTCTTTCTCGTAAAATGTATATATGACCATCTAGCATGGTTTCTGCTATATTCCCCTGCCAGCTACTACTCTCCAGGAAATCCTATTAAAGCCATTATCATACATTCTCTCCTGTCAGCCATTGGAGAGCTGACTGACAGTTTGAGAGAGAAAGTGGATGAAGATAATGTATAATGGAAAAAGATGGAGTCTTGGTACAATATGGGCCCCTATTTTTCTGTTATTGGTAATGGACACTTGACCTTTCATTCTTTAAAACACAAAGCTCTGTATCTCAACACCTGCACATTGTTTGCCCGCACTCAAATGCATGTGTGCAGTTAGGCTGTAGACAGGGCACCAGGTTAGACACTGGCACACATGCACACATGCATGTGTACAGTTAGGCTGTAGACAGGGCACCAGGTTAGACACTGGCACACATGCACACAGACACACACACACACACACACACGCACACACACACACACACACACACACACACACACACACACACACAGACACAGACAGAGAGACGGTATTGTTTAATGTAAGTGACTAAGTGGTGTTTGACCTGTGTTTAGTGAAGTAAACAGACATACAGACAGTAGACATGGAGTAGAACCCTGGGGACAGGCTCAGAGAGAGAGAGAGAGAGAGAGAGAGAGAGAGAGAGAGGAGGGAGAGAGAGAGGAGGGAGAGAGAGACAGAGAGAGAGAGAGAGCGAGCGAGAGATAGCGAGGAGAGAGAGGAGAGAGAGGAGAGAGAGCGAGAGAGAGAGAGGAGAGAGAGAGAGGAGAGAGAGAGAGAGAGAGAGAGGAGAGAGAGAGAGAGAGAGGAGAGAGGAGGGCGAGCTGAACAAGCTTTTGATTGGGCTCCCTTGGAGGGCCATTGTTGAGGTTTAGGATGCCTGGTTGTCCCTTATGGATGAATCCTGCTTGTGCTCCTATCGAGCGCTCTAAAAGCCTCCACCAGTGGGATCATCATGTGTGCCAACAGCCATGCAGCGTGGAACACCAACCAGCGTGGAACACCAGCCAGCGTGGAACACCAGCCAGAATGGAAAACCAGCCAGCATGGAACACCAGCTAGCATGGAACACCAGCTAGCATGGAACACCAGCTAGCATGGAACACCAGCTAGCATGGAACACCAGCTAGAGTGGAACACCAGTCAATATGGAACAAATAGAGGCTTAACACTGCTTAGGGACAGGCAGCTCCATGTCTCTGTCTGCCTGACTGTCTGTCTGTATGTCTGTCTGTCTCGCTCTGTCTGCCTAACTGTCTCTATATGCCTGTCATTTGAAGTGAAATAGTACATGGTATCCTTGTAAAGATAATGAATATGAGGTAATAAAATGCTGAAGTTCCTCTTTAAACAAAGTTGACCACCGGAGTTTCACATAGTGTGAAGCAAACTATTAAAATCTTCTGAGAAAGACGCAAACATACATTTCCCACACCAGGCAGGTATCAATTGATAAGCCACATAAAGTGAACCTTTTGCGAAGTGATGTCAATGCATTGTGTTCAATGTGTGTGTGTGTGAGTGTGTCTGTGAGCGTGTGTGTGTGTACGTATGTGTGTGTGTGAGAGTGTGGTGGGTATGGGTGCAGGTAGACAGCCAGTGATCACTGCATGAAAATAGGTGTTTCCGGGTATTTTCCAAACTGTACACATTCAGTGAAATTTGTCGTGAGCGGGTGCACACTCCTGACCACGCACTGGCACAAGCATTTCAGGGATCGTACACTCCCGATGTAAAAAAGGCCATTCGTTTTCACCTAACCTTCCCCAGAGTCCCATTAAGGTGGATATCTCTCCATCTCAGCTGTCAATCACAGCTCTGAAGTTTCAGCCAATCAGGATGCCTGAATGCACATTTGGACACTGCACCCGCCCACTCTAGCTCAGAGTGTTTATGTCGTTCCAAAAAGAAGACGCAGGTTTTGGCTTGCGACCAAGGTTTTTCATTGTGTTTACTAGGAAGATTGTGCGTGCATCCAAGAAAGTGAGTTGTGGGGTTTATTGTTGGGATGTTTTATGCTACGCAATGATGATTGACTGCAAGTAATTTACAGTAAGTTACCATGTAACATCTGTAACTGTATTATTGTACTGCTGTTATCCTGCAGTTTATGTACATTTCAGATACTCCATGTGCATGTTGTTTATATTGCCTAAGTGCCAGTATCACCTTGATTGCATGAGTATCTGCGCAGTGGATGCATATTTGTGTAGAGTCATTTGTATAGTCTGTATGCGCATGATACCGCAGCGTTTTCATAGTAGCCATTATTGTTGCCATTTGCATGTGCAAGGGCAAGACTCTAGAACAGTCTAGATTAGAAGGTTCAGACCTGGAGCTTGTGCAGGTGCAGTATAATTTATGACTCCAGAGACAGATCTGATAAGATCCCCACCAGGTCTGAGAGGGACATAAATCTAGCATGTCAGAGTAATTACTTATCGCTCTCTCTCTCTCCAGTGAGATGTTTATACACATGTTGATGTTTATTTGCTGTGTGAATATCCCTGTTCAGATGTAATGTTAGGACATTCATTCCTGTATAGATATTCCTATTGTTTATTTTCCAACACTGTATATCTGTTCTTACCTTTCAGAACCACAAGTCCATTCCTAATTGTAACCACAAAGATACTTCAATGATGCGTGTGTGTGCAACTGTGTGGTGGTGACCTAGAGAATAAAGCTCTGGGTATGAAAACATCTGCCTGGTTCCTGCCGGACTGCCTGTAGTGGGTCAGACCAAAGTAAAGTCAGCATTACGTCATTAGCTGGTGAGGGCTCAGAAGCCAACCGCTCAGACGGCTCCAGCTGGCTGTTTTTACACCCAATTACGCATTAACAAGGATTTCTGGGATAGTACACTCCCGATTCATGTATGTTAACTTAAACTGACATTTTCTGGTGTGTAAACTGCATGACATTTGCGCTTGGAAAGAGTAGACATCATAGCGTAATATCAGTACACACCCAACCAACTAGCTAGTACCACTCACGTTGGGGCGGGAATATTTGAATTTCAGTGTCAGTTAGCTAGAGAGATCCACTTACGTCCGTAGAGATCCACTCACTGCCTGTCCGCAATATTAGCTGTGATTTCAATGAGAAGACTTCAACAACACTTTCAACAAAGTCGACTACGAAGGACTTCAAAATAACCGATGTAAGGGAACAATGTACACAGTAGGTCTAATGTTAGTGTGGTGGCTGTACATTTCAAGTATTTACTAGCTAGCTAACATTAGTCAGCTGAATTAAGTGCCAGTGATGAATAAACATATTTTAGCTAGCTAGCTACTTTGTGTGAAGCAGGATTTTAGGGGCTAGTTGTTGCAAGCTAGCTAACTTTGATCTTGTGAGTGTAGGGAAAAAACGTGTGATTAATATTGAAGCATAGAGGTGTTTTATGGAGACATAAAAAAATATTGTACTCAATATCCCTACACCCCAGTCTCCTCTGCTTCCTCCCAGGGAGGAGGAACACCCTAAACCCCTCGCTCCGGGACTCACAGGTCAGTCTTGGGGTGACCATGTTGGGGTGACATTTTTTTAGTCTTTGGAAGATTATTTAAAAATGAACATTTTTAATAAATAACATGAGGTTATGGCATAACAGCTCAGTTAGAGTTGAGCAATTATCCATGTGTTGTTATTATAAAAAAGTATATATTTTTTATATTAATTAGGATCGCAATCAATGTGGCAACTTTGGTATTATCAAAACCCTCTGTAATTGTGTTTCTGTCAGACATGTTGTATACAGCACTGGGTCGTTGACCAGCAGTGGCTACCCTCCCCAGGACATGTTGCCCTCCTGTTCCTCCTCTGCTGTCTCTTCCTCAGTCGGGGCATACAAAGCTCCCCGTTACCCGGAGGACCCCCATGCACCTCCTCAAGAACCCTATCACAAGGGTCACCCCACGAACCCCCCTACTGCCCCCTTACATCCTAATGAGCCCCAGCTCTACCCACATATGCATTGCCACCCCCTGCACCCCAGTACGAGCAGCCCCCTCTGGCAGAACGGGACAGAGAGAAGGACAGGGACAGAGACCGGGACAGGGACTCAGGAGGGAGGTATGGTGCCAGTGGGATCGGCTCTAGAAGTGAATCTTACCAGGAGGCCAACTCTTCTTCAAAGTATTCCCACCACTCGCATCACTCAGAGTGAGAGTGAGGGGAGAGGGGCTAAAGACGGGACAACATGGGCTCCAGAGACCACTGCAGACACCGTAACCACCACTCACACAACCATAGCCGCAGCAGTAGCAGCAGAGCAGCCATGACTGGGACAGCAGGAACAGGGACAGAAATAGCGACTATTCCAACAGCTCCGATCCCACCACACCCCTCTGCTTCCCCCACTACACCCTCCCTCCCCTCCCCTCCCCCTGCCTCTGTGATAGCCCTGGACTGTGGCCAGGACAGCCCGGCCAAGCGCCATGTGTATCTAGGGCTGGGCGATATGGCCAAAATATAATTTACATTTTAGTCATTTAGCAGACGCTCTTATCCAGAGCGACTTACAGTTTTTTTTTTTTTTATACTGGTCCCCCGTGGGAATCAAACCCACAATCCTGGCATTGCAAGCGCCATGCTCTACCAACTGAGCTACACGGGGCCCAATATCATATCACTGTATTCGTATAATTTTTGATTGAATGTCGGTATTTTATGTTTCTGAATAATAATAAAGTTCTAAATATGCTTTATGGGTAGCGCAAGGCCCTAGGATGGCAACAAATTAATTCTAAGTGGTTTTAATGTTCTTTCTCCATTCTGATTGGTTTACTGTTCAACCAAACTTCAACCAAAAATAATAGAAGGACAAAACTGTCAGTAAAGTAATCCTATTTTTAGAACATTGCATAGGAATCTAAATCCTCTTTTGTAGCCTCTTACTCTGGTACTCGACCAATGGTTTCCGTTTGCATAGTTACAGTGGGGAAAAAAAGTATTTAGTCAGCCACCAATTGTGCAAGTTCTCCCACTTAAAAAGATGAGAGGCCTGTAATTTTCATCATAAGTTTTTTCTAATTTTGTCTGTCATAGTTGATGTGTACCTATGATGAAAATTACAGGCCTCTCTCATCTTTTTAAGTGGGAGAACTTGCACAATTGTTGGCTGACTAAATACTTTTTTTCCCCACTGTATATTAAACCACCCAGACAAATCAAAGATACAGTCATCCTTCTGAACTGAGCTGCAGGACAGGAATGAAACTGCTCAGAGAGGTTACAATGAGGCCATTGGTGATTTTAAAATAGAGTTCAATGGCTGTGATGGGAGAAAACTGAGGATGGATCAACAACACTGTAGTGACAATAATGACTTAAATGACAGAGTGAAAAGAATATATACAAAACAAGGCACTAAAGTAATACTGTACAACAACACGGCAAAGGAATACACTTTTTGTCCTAAATGCAAAGCCTAACAGTATGTTTGGAGCAAATCCAACACAACACATGACTGAGTAACTGCCTCCTTATTTTCAAGCATGGTTGTGGCTGCATCATGATATGGGTATGCTTGACATCGGGAAATACTGGGGAGTTTTTCAGGATGAAAAGAAACGGGATGGAGCTAAGCACATGCAAAATCCTAGAGGAAAACCTGCTTCAGTCTGCTTTACACCAGACACTGGGAGAGGAATTCACCTTTCAGTATGACAATAACCTACAACATAAGACCAAATCTACACTGGAGTTGCTTACGAAGAAGACAGTGAATGTTCCTGTGTGGTAAACTACAGTTTAGACTTAAATCTGCTTGAAAATCTATGGCAAGACTTTAAAAATAGCTGTCTAGCCATGATCCCCACCATCTTGACAGAGCTTGAAGAATTATGACAATAATAATGGGACAATAATCCAGGTGTATAACGCTCTTAGACACTTACCCAAGAAGAATCACTGCTGTAATCGCTGCCAAAGTTGTTTCTTACATGTATTGATTCAGGGAGCTGAATACTTATGCAACGACTAGATTTTAGTTATTTAATTTCCATCAATCTTTTAAAAAGACATTTTTTTCTTCCACTTTGACATTATCGAGTATTTTGTGTAGATTGTTGATAAAAATGAAATCTATTTTAATCCCACTTTGTAACAATACAATGTGAAGAACTCCAAGGGGTATGAATACTTTTGCAAGGCACTGTAAGACAAAATAAACATGACACAGTGTGTGACTGATAAATTAGAGCAGGAAATGAAGAAATTGATTCAAATGCTGGAAGTGAATGCTAGAATTGAACAAATACAGTGGGGGAAAAAAGTATTTAGTCTGCCACCAATTGTGCAAGTTCTCCCAATTAAAAAGATGAGAGAGGCCTGTAATTTTCATCATAGGTACACGTCAACTATGACACACAAAATGAGGAAAAAAAATCCAGAAAATCACATTGTAGGATTTTTTATGAATTTATTTGCAAATTATGGTGGAAAATAAGTATTTGGTGACCTACAAACAAGCAAGATTTCTGGCTCTCACAGACCTGATTGTTGACAAAAAATGTCAATTAAATACATTTTAATCCCACTTTGTAACACAATAAAATGTGAAGAAATTAGTACTTTTGCAGGGCCTCTATAAATAAAAAATAAAATAAAAATATATTTCCTTGACAGAATTATTATTCTCCTATTTGACTGTATACATTTTCTGACTTCAATTGCAGTTCTTACTTTCACCACTAGGAGTAGTTGCCACTAGGGGGTCTTTACTCCCAAACTTGTTGACTTGTTGCTCTTGCAAGCAAACTTCCTCTCTGTTAACTAAAGGTAGCAGCAGAGACTGAAGAGGAAGTAGGACACCCCACTCACAGTTTTTTCGGGACACATTATTTTCACGCCACTTCGATTACTAAGGGATTTTATACAATAACAAGTCTTTAAGGTGGAGTTTCTACACATTGAAAACGGCAAAGGACTACATCTACATCCCAGAACTTCAGAGAGCAGTGTTGAGAAGACTGGGCTCTCAGCTGGGGCTACCAAGGAGAATGATCCTGAGATCAGATGACCCAAGACTCCCTAAAGTGCCACCACCAACTACGGCTGAGCTGCTACAACTTTGAGGATATGTTGCCACGCAACACCGGAAGCAGTTAGCACACCTTTAAGACTTGGTGGCTCCCAGGAAGTGTGAAAACCTACAGAGTACTCAGAAATGTTGTTGAACGAGGGGGGCCTACAACCAAACTTATAAATAATTTGTAAATAAGGGAAGTTTGTGTGGGCAACAATAAATTGGTGTGAGAAACAATATCTGTGAATTCTTTATCTAGCATATAGAAATCATTATTGTACTTTTGGAATGGTTTTAGTGTCATTTACTAAACTGCTATTTTTATGGATATCTATGCTCCTGGCAGTTTTAACTTCAAATTAGCAGACCTACAGGAGGGTAGATATCCAGGAAGATGGATGGACTACCCTGTTGTAAATACAGTACAAAACAAGTCGGTCTGATTACACAGATCAAGTTAAATAGAGGTTTATTAGGGAGATAAACAAGAATACAAGGTAGTCTCTGTAACCTTCTCAGCACAGTGTTAGGAAAACATTCTGATAAAGTCCTGAACTGGTAAACTACTAAACTGATATCACCCAGACCATAAAAATAATTGCTAAGAAACGACACACAAAGATGCCACCAAATGGAATATTTTTCCTAATTGGGATCCAAATGAAGAATAAAGTACAGCATTGTCGTGGAAAGTGTTCAAGTGTTATGTAAAAATACTAGGTAATAATAAATAGAATAGTGGTGTGGTGAAATGGCAGCAGTTGTGTGTTATAAGGTGCATGAGTATTTGGATTGAAGTAGTTAGCAGTCTGTGAACTTGGAGCTGGACAGTAAATGGTAGAACAGTTGTACATGTTGTTGTGGGCTTTCTTGTGACAGTTCTGGAAGTTGATTTACTGTACTGTCTTCCGGAGTGAGGAAATCAGAGCTCCACAGCCTAGAGATTACCACTTGGTTCTTGTCCCAGGGATCCATACTGTCTTTATGCTGCAAGCCTGTACTCCTTGTGATCGGTGCCTGGATCCTGCAGGTCGGCCAATGGCAAAATGTAATTTCTGGTAGACCGGACAAGTTGCAAAATCCCCTCCTCCAGGCAAAAATTTCAATGTGTGCCATCCTGCTCACACATCTGTCCGGGCCCTGACCGCAGCACTTCCTCTCAAGGTCAGTGGCCATCTCCTGGCAATTCAGGCAGTTGCACCAGCAGGGCTGTCCTCAGTCTGGGATGTCTGGAGATCTTGGGATAGCTTACCCCGAATGAGGACTGCGACTCTTCAAAACGGGAACTTATAAAAAATAACATACAAATTACACTGTTAGGAATGTATTGTAATGTCCAGTACATAGTCTACTATGTATGTATAACGGATAATGGTTTTCATGCAGAAGGATCGAGTGACACATTTCTACAATCAATACAAAACAGCTTGATAACCAATGTAGCTAATGAAATGACCACTTGTAGATACCAAATAAAATGCAGTAGCTAGTTGTTCTTCTATGATTAGGGTACATCATACTCATACCAATTAGTTTGACATTGGTACAAATGTATCACCGCTTGTCTATTTCACAAAGGTATGTTCAAATTTTTTTGGTAGCTAATTAGCTTGCTAGTCTAACTAGGTAGCTATAGCTAAGGACTAACACAAATATCTGGATTGGTCTGACTGTCTCTATTACGGAGGGGACCTGAAAATGGGTGGACGGCACAAACCTGACTACCCTCTAAGAGACTACTGCTCTAATAACACTGACCACAGCGTCAGGACTAGGACTGATTCTCTGTGTTGTTCATCATCTAGGTTCTGAGAGAGTGGCCAGTCTAACTCTGTGTTGTTTCTACTGCAGATATTGTGGGAATGGACAGCCTGTAAATCATACATCTGAGAACTGTTGGGATTTTAGAAAAAGCCCATAAGGCCAAGGAATATGGGGAGACTTGCGATGTAACTGCAGAAAAATATGGATCTGTGAGAAATAGGCATTCTCTGCACTGCTGTTTAATAATAACCTATCTACTATCTGTTAACGACAGTCTGAAAAAGACTGTTGTGATTTGTAGAATGGTACTCTGAACTAGAGGTAGGAGAGAAACGCACGCTAGCGCACTCACATAAACACACACACAAACAGACAAACTTCACACATATGTATCATTCAATAGCTACTGTCAATCAATCACTGTTAAGTTTGGCAGTTATACAATTTATTTGAAATTACTGTATATGTTAATATGATATGTTTGATGCA